TCACAAAATCTTGAACTTACCCTCTTCTGTGGGGTTAAACCCACAGATGTCACAAATACAACGAACCCACTTATTCATCTCCTCCTCACTGTCTGCTACCAAGTAGAAAATCCGGTCAATGGTGTTGATATCAAAAATGTAGCTGTTTTCAAATTCTTTTTTGTTAAATGTCAATCCTGCATCAACTTGCTGACATAAATTTAAATCAATAATACGGATAGGCTTCTTGGCATGATCATTTTTGTAATATTCCAAGACATCTGGATCTCCAGTCAAACGGCCACTGCGTAACACAAACCATCTCCTCTTCCATGCCTAGGGACAAAACAAAAATACCCATCTGGTGTTAATCTGAGAGAAATTTTTCAAGAAGATGCACACTTGTCAAACCAATTTTACAAATGCATTGACTAGAAAAGTCATATACAATGTTTTTGTTTTGACATAATAATCTACCACTCCAGCAAAGTTTACTGATGCCTCCTCAATTAACTTAATAATGTGCACATATATGTATATACATATTTATTATTTTCCATTAGATCTACTGAGAAAATATTAGAAGACATTGATTGATGTTATGTATATTACACTGATATGTAATAAAGTCAACAAACGAAGGGAGACTTGGTTTTCACTAAGTGGAAAAATGCACTGGTTTCAACAAATGATGCTGGGAAAAATGGATAACCATGTATAAAAGAATGAAGCTACGACTCTTCCCTTTTACAAAAATTAACTCAAAATGGATCAAAGACCTAAGTGTAAGAGCTAAAACTATACAACTCTTAGAAAAATACATATGGATAAGCTTCATGATATTAGATTTGGCAATGATTTCTTGAACAGGACACTAAGACCACAGAAAACAAAAGAAAAACAGGTTAACTGCACTGCATCAAAACTTAAAACTTTTATACACTTGAAGGATGCAGAGTGAAAAAGGCAAATCACAGAATGGGAGAAAATATTTGCAAATCATTTATCTGGTAAGAAATAAATGTCCAGAATAGACAAAGAACTCCTATAATTCAATGACAACAAATATAAACAATCCAATTAAAAATGGGCAAAAGGAGTTGAATAGACTCTCCAAAGAAGATATGCAAATGGCATGATAAGATGTTCCACATCACTATCAGAAGAGACGGGCAAATCAAAACCACAATGAGATACTACTTCATATACACTAGAATGGCTATTATCAAAAAAAGCAAGTGTCAGCCAGAATGTGAAGAAATCAGAACCTTTGTGCTTTGCTGGTGGAAATGGAAAATGGTGCAACTACTGTAAAAAATGGTATGGCAGCCCTTTAATAAACTCCAGTGTGGGTACATATTCAAAAGTATTGAAAGCATAGTCTCAAAGAGATATCTGTACACCCATGTTCATAGCAGCATTATTCACAGCAGTCAAAAGATGGAAACAACCCAAGTGTCCATTGATGAATAAAGAAATAAATGAAATGTGGTGTGTGTGTGTGTATGTATGTATGTGT